AAATAAATAAACAACACCCAGAACTCATAAAGTGATTTACTCCTGCAAGCATCCATTATGTCAGACGGGAGGAGCTGACAAAATTGTTAAAGAAGGAAACATTGCAAACAGGAGCCAAGAGAGGAGATGAAGTACTTACAGGCTTTCTGGAGTCACCCAATTATGGCATAATGGATTCCTACTGCCAAGATTGCTTGTATCCATCCCAACCACCCTCAGGCTCTTTCCTCTTCGAAACACCACCTGCCATCTGATAAATTCTTGCTTGTTCATCTGCTACTGCCTGTGAACTGGCAACAGAGTGTTGCCTTGATGTAAGAAGCGATGTTTCATCTCTACCTTCTATGTCTGGCCCCCCTGGCCCAGCATTTAAGTCAATAACATGCCTTCCCCATTTCCTACTGCTGTCAGCACCACTATTATTACTACCATCTGAAAGGCTAACAACATATGGTGGCCTTGCATAATGGGATGGGAGAGCACCAGCAGGTCCTAATAACGGTGAATGAACTGGAGGGTAGCACAGCCTCCCACTCGAAGACGATTCAACATATGGTGTTGAACCACCTGAAAAACTGGTTGATGGAAGTGTAAAGTTTCCAAAGGAGAAAACAGGATACTGGAATGGAGAAGGGAAGGACACAGCTGAAGAAGGCAGCACTGTTCCCCGATAGGCATCTGGATTAAAGGAGGTCGCACCAGGAGTAGTCCCCAACACCCTTTGGGCCCCACCAGTAGCAACAATTGGGAAAGGATGCTCTCCTCTATCAGGCAAGATTGAGGGAATTGTGACTGCTGGGTAAGTATTACCTGGAGGAAGCCATGAGAAGTTTGGCATCTCCATATTGTTTGTCCGTAGGCTGGAGACTGGTGGCTGGGAAGGAGCATTTCCACTTCTGCTATGCTGACTAAATAATGACGGTTCAGCACTTGTATCATCAACACCAGGCCCATTGTTCAAATCAAAATCCCTTCGAACACTTGCTTCCCCATTAAGAATACCACCTGATGTTGACTTAATTGACTGAAGCGGAATATCCAGTCTACGACCATTTCCAGTCGAGTGATTACCCAAATCAGTAGGCTCGTCGACTCTATTCAAGTCTAGATCAAGTCCCCCAGATGAGCGACCAAGAGTAGAACCCATGAACCCACCAGTTAAATCACAATTATTTGAAAGGCCGGCTACAGAATCTGTATCCTTCATGGCACTTCTGGAAGCCAAGTCCTCAAGAACTCTCTCATCTGGAACATTCAAATCAATATCTAGTGGAGCCCTACTTTGCTTGCCAGCAGTAGCATCGGGAAGAGAAGTACTACTTGTGCCCAAAGGCATATCTAACACCTTCCGTGGTTCAGCTGGCCGGAAAGCACTTGTGGCTGCTGATCCCTTCCAACCAAGTGCCCCCTTGGTCCTCAATAGGTCATCAAGGGGGACAAAAGGCCCCTTTGCTGCAGCAGCAACTGTTATTGAGGCAGGAAGGCTGCTAGGTACAGAAGAAACAGGGAAAGGTAACGAGCTCATCAGTTGCACCGGTGCTGGACATCCAGGTGCAGTTAGGTTATTTGGTTCGCCAAACTTCCCCTCATCAGTGTTCAGGCCTTCATTCAAGTCAAATCCCACTTTTGCATCATTATCTGAACCACCTGTAGCAGAAACAGAAGTGTCGGCAGTGGCTGATGTTGGTTCTTCAGCTTCTCCTTCAATGCCAGCTAACTTTGATCCCTTTGACTTAAGACATGCTGTTGAGGGAGGAGTTATCTTGGAAGAAGATGGTCCACCAGGTGACCCATTAACATCAGTACCTTCTAAATTCTCAACAGGCTCACTCTTGTGAATGGTGAGACCTGAACACAATAGATAGCAATTTGATTGTCAACTTGAATGGTGAATTAAAAAAAAAAAAAATGAAATATATTTTTAATATGAAACATTAAAAAGAGATGGAGCATTACTTTCCCATTCAGTTTTTTGCTTATCCAAGCGATTAACATGATCCTGAGCATCCATTTCATGATTAACATGATCCCGAGCATCCATTTCATCATCTTTCTCAGGCTTCACTTCATTAACATTCTCACAAACCACTTCTTTACCAGAACCAGTAGGCAACGCATCATCATCTGTTCCTTTAGTACACTGCACAACTAGCGATGTCTCCTGCATCTGCACACTTCTGTCTAAACCTTTTTTGATATTTTTCTTGCTATCAATATCCATTTCCAAAGAATGTATTGATGGCGATCCCTCTACGACACCTGTCCCAACTCCCACACATGAATCAATGATCTTCTCCTCATTTAATGAAGAAGTGCTCCCCTTCAGTTTAGAATCAGGACAACCCTCATCATCCACTTGACCACTAGCCTTTTTCTCCAGAGAACCTTTTACATCGACAGTGGTTTTCTCTCCAGTGCTCTCTGATGGAACATTGACTACAAGAATTTCATTCAACTTCCCATTTTCAAGACATGGATCTCCAGATTGTGGTAAATCCTTACTTGAAGTAGAAAGCCCATTAAGCTCTCCCAAAGACTTATCTTGAGAGGAACCAGGCTTGTTGTCTGCATTTTTTGCCCATGAGTTACTAGCATCAACCTGCTTCTGATTTTCATCATCAATACTCTCACCAGGTTGACTTCTTTCTCGAATAAGATCATCTCCAGTAGATTTTGCTCTTGTTTCACCAGAGTGCTCAACAACAGGTACATTTCTTTGTGGGGAATCATTTGGGGAAGCAAAATCCGACTTAGAAATCTCTCCAGCAGCTACACTAGCAAGCAAATTCATTCCAGCATCATCCCCAGGTGGTACACATGCATTTGCTTCAGAGTATTTAACGCTGTCTATTAGAGCATTTATGGAGCAGAAGGAAGCATCCTGCAATTTTCCAGATTTAAGTTCATTTGCTGATGAAGAGGAAGCAGTTTTTAAAATATCTACTGTTTTCCTAGCATCTTTCCCAGTCCTGCAGTTCTCTTCTTCAGGAACAGCAGCAGGTGAACCATCACCCTCATCTGACCCAGTCAAAACATCTTTGAAATCATTGCTCTGCCAAGACTCAGTATTCACATCAGCAGCAACATTAGCTCTAAAACCATCATTCTTATCCTTTATACTACGATCAAATTGCTCATTCTTCTCTGGAAGCACAGGAGAAGAAGCTCGGCTATTCATTACTGGATGGTCCTCAAAAGATCCTCCACTTGCACTCCGTGCAGGACTTCTACCTCGGTTTGGGATCTTAACAATTAGTTTATGACTATTCCCCTCGGCCACAGGCAAATCAACTGCCTTTTCACCAGACAAACCAGTTTGTGATGGCTTTTCTGAAGATGGGTTCCGGTGCAAGGAAGAACTTTTGCTTGACCCTGAATCTCTTTGAACTCCAGATAGAGATGGCCCTGGAAAACCATTAATTGATTTTCGGTGACGTGAAGAACCACTGGAGATCTTGTTCACAGTTGCTGAACCAGCAACAGAGCTTCTCGCTTCTTCCTTCCCAGAAAATCCCCCAGTCTTGGCATGGTCACTAGAACAAGACTGACTATTGTTGTGGGACTGACTAGAACTGCTACTTTTCTCATCCCTTGCTGTTGCTTGAAGATCAGAGGTACCACCAGCAGTAGCATTTCGGGACTGTCCATCTTTCAGGTTAGTACTTGCTGATGCAGGGGAGGATGCGGCCTTCATGGACCCAGGAGATGCAGAAGCAGATTTAGTTGCAGTGTCCCCTTGCACAAGCTTGACAGAACCAGTTTTAGAAGCAGAAACTTGTGTTACAGAACTCTTTGCAGCAACCTCAGATGACCCAGAGTGCTTACTTCCACCATGAGAAGCTTCAGAAAGACGAGACCTAGCAGGCCAGGAAACAGCCTGATTGGAACCAGATTTCGCATCCATCTCAGCCTCAACTCGTCTCTTCCATGTATCTACTAAACTTCTTGCTTTCTTCTGTATTTCCAAATTTTTATGGCCACGCAAATGATTCACACTGCGGCCAATATTACACTTTTGCAGAGCCTCAAGGTTTATAGGTAACTTATCAAGCGCACGAAGTAAGATTAAGAGAAATTCCTCAACAGATTTATCACTGTCCTTGGAGCCACTACCATCACCAATCTTTCCTTTATGGACTTCCTGCAGCCATTCATCAAAAACAGGCAAGCCCTTTAGCTGCACAAAATGACTTAGACAGTCATGCTTCTCTGTAGCTGCAACCACCCCAGCAAGCATTGATCTACTGCCCAAGTCTATTTTTTTCTCATTTCTGTCAGGCAGCATAAGCTGCACCAGTTTCTCAACTCCCTCAGAATCTTCTAGTCCACCCTTCTCTGTAATTTTAGCAATCTCAGATTTTAAACTAATCTCTGATCCCCTGTGACCAGAATCCCCATCATCCATTTTACAGGTACGTTCTCGTTTAACAGGCTCAGAACTCTGATCCCCACGCTCCCTTTTCTTTCCCTTAGCTTGAGAAGGAAATGAGGATGAACTGTTTTGTATACCATCTGAACCAGGTTTTAACTGTGATGAGGACGTTGGACCATTCATTGGCTTCGGAGAACGGCCACCAGGCTGCACTGTTGCATGCATTTCTAAACGGGTCTTAGACAACAGCTGATTTACTTCTTCCTGTCGTTCCTGCAAAAGGAAAATACATTAACTAAAATAAACCAAATAATTCAAAAAAATTTAAGAAATCAGAATGAACACATTCGAACTCACATCAATATAATCTTGATCAGTTAGCCACCATAAACACCTGTTACTAATGTCATAAACACGTCGGCACAC